TCTCTTAGTCGGCAATAAGTGCGGAACCGGCAGCAATCCTGCGAAGGATGTCAACAACCGTTGGAGAGGAGCTGATCAATTGGTTTCAGCTTGAGTAAAAAAAAATTTGTAGTTAATGTACATTTTGTATGCCTTCGCCTATGTTGTACAAAAGGTACACGGGAGTAGTGAATGATGGTCGTGAGGGTTGGATAATTCGTGGTGCTTCAACAGAACACAACGGACATTTATTGCTTCCAGTTGAGTGCAGTCGCTTGGTGACTATGCAATAGAGATACGAAGCGCCAAGAACAATTAGAAAATCATCTACACGTCGTCAAGTCTCTGTCTCGACATCTGGTTCGCGACCAGTGAGACCACCCGCTCCAATCTTCTTCTTCATCTTTTGGAGTGCAAACTTGGCCTCATGTTTGGCAAAAGCAGCATTCCGCGCAGGCCGCCACTGCATCAGACCACGCTGCTGTCGCTGCTCACTGTGTTTATTCGCCCTGTTCATCTGGCTGGTACTCATACCGCTCTGTGACAAAGACGTCCCAGCTCCACCACTGCCACTAATTGTCGAGGGCCCTTTACTCAAGTGCTCGAGCGCATCATCGGATTCAGAGGTGTCCTCGTCGTGATACTCTCCATTTTGGATATGGTGTCGCTGAGAAGCGTGATCCTGGAGTGGGGGAGGGGTGTACGGATCATGACGAGGTTGATCCCGGCCAGGCTCAGCGACCTTGCGTCCGATAGAATCCGTGTACGCACGCGGGTCTTGACCAAACGCACCACTCCAATCTTGGCCGCTGTGGTCAATCCATCGCTGACGCTCAGAGGGCGAGGCTTGCTTCAGGATGTCCCGTCCGCCGATCAAAGACTGCTCGTGTTTTTTCTGTACTTCGGCCGGAACTTCGACGTCCACGGTGCGGGAACGCACGCCCTGTGATAGACAGGCTTCCCAGGTCTCAAAGGTCTCACGGGAGTCGTTATCAACCACGAAGCGCTCGTGCGATTCGTCAATGCCTGGCGAGAACTTGCACCGGAACTGCAGACGTCCCACCTCTGTCAAGTCTTCGAGTCCAGGTGTTTGCTTGGCCTTCCAGTTCTCCTCGGTAACGTAGTTCTGTGTCAACCGAGCACCCATCTTTGTAGTCCAGATGGGAAGGTCGATGTCTCTTTCCTCGTTATCGACAAGATGTTGGAGCCACAGAACAGCATACGCTACTGCGCTTCGCTTGCCTTGGTTATGGAACTCGAACACAATCGGGGAGCGGTATCGGTGCTTCACAGGCATGCGTAGTGAGTCGCGGAAAGTCTCATCGGAAGTATCGAATACTGCATCATTACCTTCCATGTGGCACTTGTGTCGGGTGACCTTTCCAACGCTGCCACCGGTGCGCAGCTTGATCTTAGTGTTTCGACCAAAGTTCTTCGCGGTGATCTTTTGGCTAACAAATTCAAAGGTTCCTACATCCCAGCCAAGCAGTGGGGGTGGCAGCTTGGTCTCCACATGGCGAAACAGAAGAGAGATTCGGATGCGTCCAAATCCAATTCCACCGTCGAGGGGATACCAGCGGGTCACTTGTGAGCTAGTTTGCATGATGTCGGATAGCTTGAGGGGGACCACGCCGAGGATGGGATCATGCTCGCGATAACGTTGGTCTCGGACAGTGATGGTAACAACGGCTGAGCGCCAGTCGCGAACAAATCGTTCAGTGCCAGCATTGAAGATAGGTTTGGAGCTCACAGCCTTTGCACGAGTGCGATAGATCTGAAGGACGTTCTTAGTGTCTGGAATTGGGAGTTACATGGAATGTAGCTACAGGTACGTACCAGTTGATCGTTCAACAAAACCTTACAGTAACTCGTTGGGAGATCTACTCCCTCCTCTTCTGTGTTCTCGCCATATGGCTTAGCCGGCTCAAACTCCTTACCCTTGCGGTTGCCATCACTGCCCTTGATATTGGCAAGTTGAAGGTTGACGATCTGATGCACAACAATGTGCACAATCCCACTAGGCCAGATTGGATCAGGTGGTGTGTGCATAACGGCATCCTCTTCTTCATTGTTGATAGCTCCCTTTTCGTCTTCGAAAGTAGGATTTCCTCTTAGATTTTCAGGAAGATCTTTCTTCTTGCCATCAGTACGTAACTCAGGGCGGAGTTTGGGTTTCCCGAAGTATCCAACTTCCCAATGCAGCTGACCGGGCATCTCACTGCCCTCATCCATCCCCTGAAGTTTTGACACCTGGGGATACATCTTGCTTGGATGCTGAAGCATCTCCCGGATAGGTAGCTCGACCTTGCCGACAATATCATCCGCGGTGTTGCGGTCAGAGTCCCAGAGCTCGATGCTCAAGTTTTCATCGGCCTTGATCAATTCTGGTGTCACAAGGAGGGCAGCAGTCTCTTCCCAGATTGGGTTGAGATCATCCGTAATCACACGTGTACAATACATGGGCTTGCCATATTTCGAGAAAGACAGGTTGATGTAAGGATCACTGCCGCCACCCTCGCTGCCGCGGGCATCTTGTTTGCTCAAGCCGACGGCGCGGTGAATGCGAATCCACATCACACCCAGAGCCAACGTATCTTTGTGAATATCATCTCCTGTCAACATCATGCCGAGATCCATGGTCATTGACTTAGGAGCTGCAAACATGCCACAAGCGGTACTAATGGCGGAGTTGACAAAGTTGGAGATCAAGGGTAAGTTGAGAACATTCACTCCCGTTCGAAACATTGGCATGCAGCCAGCCCTGACGTGAGGAATGCCGACTAAAGTGAAAGTCACATCCTTCAGAAACGGTGCTTCTGGCATCATTTGGAAGCGCATACGGACAGTTCCGACAAGTTCAATCAGCTCCACGAACACGGGAAATGGCACACCAAACAAGCCTCGAATGCCCAGATAGAAGACCAGTTGCATGTGCATGTTGCGTGCTTTTGACGAGGCACTTTGACCAGTTGGGCTTGCGTGATAGGCAAAGGAGGCTTCCATGTTATAGTAACTCCCTCCTTCTTCGGCAGCAGCAGCTTCCTGTGGGTCCTTGTTCTTTCTGTTTTCCTCATGGATGTTGTCCTTCAAATTCTGCACATGATTGTCGGGAAGAGCTCGCATGCTAAGAATTCGGAGTGGGTTACTACCCTGGTCGATTTCTGCGATGCGAACATTCTCTACAACTTTGGGTGCAGAGACTTGCATGATATCTTCGATGGTGTCGGCCACAGGTGTCAACATCTCTGGGTTAACGAGTCCCCACACGACACCGAGCAAACTGTTCATCCATTCGACGGATTCAGGAAGGAGATTGGCAGTCGCCTTTTTGAATTATCAGCATTTCGATATATCAACTATATCAAACAACATCAAACTTACCATCTGACCACGAAGTTTCTCACTACTCCACTCCATGGCTCGACCGCTGCGAATGACCTCCTGCATCCATAACCATACTCCACTCGTAATGCACGCGGCTAAGGGAATAAGGCCCCAAAGAGATCCTCCGCACATCTGCCCTAGCATGATAATAGCAACAGGTATTCCAATGCAAAGGCCCATGGCGCGCTTATGCAAAGAATCAAACATAGGTTGATACGAGACAGTTGGTGTGGGGTGGAAAAGAACATTCGTCTTCTCTCCTCGAATGGGAACATCGGAGGTTGTGCCTTCAGCAATAGGATCAGGGGGTGCGGTAATGTCTTGTTTTTCTTTGTACTCTGCAAGGTCTTGGTCGGGGCTCGTTTGGATGTCCTGAGACACATGTCAGTGATTGATATACCACGATGAACGATATTCGATATAGACAACTCACCGTGGGTTTCCCAAGATTTGCATTCGGAACCGTCAACTGTGAATGGATAAGACTCCATTCATAATGTGTTGGAGATAGTTCAACATACCATTGGATTCTTTACCGCTTCCATAGAAGTCTCGTCTTGGTCTTCAACACCGATGTCCTTGCCCGTGGTCGGGTCTGTCACAGTGCGCATCTTGGCCTGGGAGACTTCGCGTGGTTTATGGGCAACAACATCTCCATCTTTTTGATCCTTTTGATCTGCTTTCTCTGGCGGCCCGTGAGAGGTCTCTTGCGCCTTTGCACGGGCAGCCCTTTCTTTCTTGGCTCTATTTTCTTCTTCTATCCTGCGATCGCGTTCCTTCTTCTCGACATCGATATGTTCCAGAAAGTGACCAATGGTGGGAATAGGATTAGCACCGCTCCAGTGCTCCCCAACTCGACGGCTCTGTGGACTCTTGGGCTGCTGACCTGTAGCCATCTTGCAAGTCGGTGGAAGAAATGGGATAGATTGGGTTTCCGCTTTCTCTTCTCGTCGCTGCAGGGTTAAACTCGATTTGACTGTACAACGTTGTTAAAGATGAGTGCACCCTCTCATCATCACCCTCTCAAGGTGATAGATGTTAACTGAACAGATATCCAGAATGGAGAAGAGATATTAATTCAAGATAGACAGGATGATGGGAGCTTTCCCCAGAGCTACGTCATTGACCTGGGAAATGGGGCTATGACGATGATACAAGAGATCAACCGCCTATCAGTTATCTGAACAATCTAGATTGCTTATGTGCACGCACAGATCATGCTCTTTCCCCCACAATTCTATTGCCAATCTTGAATTGGGCCTGGCCAGGGGTTGCTGGTTGTCCATCTCAGCGGAATCTCGGTCTTTGCATTGAGAGCTCCCACTTCAATCTGTCCATTGACCATACGAAGTAAATCCACCCAGTCTGAGATTTGGGATACCGTTCGTAACTTTAGCCAGGCTTGCTCGAATTTGGCCATAGGGATGAATTCCAGCTGGCGTGGTAGAGTAAATGATGTCATTGATCGTGAACAACCATAAAGTCCATCTTGGCATTTTCTTACAAACGCACACGGTACAATACAACCAATCCGCTAAATTATAGCTGAAGTCCGACTGGATGTATGTTGTATGTTGTACATCGTTTAGTCAGCCTTGTCCAGATTGTTTAAAAAGGCGCGGATCTTGTCATTCTTTAGTTAGAGAATTCAGAGTATTTTTCATACCATTTCCATTAGTAATACACACATTGTTGAACCTGAAAGAGATTGTAGAACACTGAAATGGTATGAAAAAATACTCTGAATTTCCTCCAATGAGTGACAAGATTCGCGCCTTTTTAAACAATCTGGACAATGCTGACTAAACATTACATTTAATTTTTCTGTCTCAGGGTGGCACCACACATTTCGACACACCCCCCAGTTTTTGAAGCTATTCAGAGCTTCAAGAACTGCTTCTTCCATCACTTTCTCGGATGATCTTGTCGCGAATTTCACGCATACCAAGCAGCTCCCGAAACACTTGCTGCTTTTCTTGTTTCATCCAGCATCGGTTAATGTCCACATGTCGAAGCTTCGTATGCATTGCTGCTGCCATGAATTCCTTGGCAAATTGATGGTTCTTCATTTGGATCCAGTTCTCAGGTGGTGGTGGAAGATCCTCTCTGTGTGGTTTCGTTTTAAACCTC